TCCTCCTCCTCCTCCTCCTCCTCTTCCTCATCATCATCTTCCTCTTCTTCCTCGTCCTCGTCCTCATCCTCCTCCTCTTTTGACTGGGGGGCTCTTGGGGATGGGCCTCAGGACCGCACATCACCTTGGCCAAGAAGGGATCAATCCTGCTCCCGCACGGGCTTTCCCGTGTACGGATTCTTACCGTCCAGGATTCGATCACGATAGAGCTTCCGCCACCGATGGGCGGCAATGCCCTTCGTCAGAGGGCCCTCGCATCCCCGCTACAACGTATGGGCTCGGGAACGGGCGAAAGCCCCACAAATTCGGCACACTGCATAACCCACCTTCTCAACCACATCGTGTTCCCGAGGTGGGGGCGGGGGTGAGACGCGGGACCCAGACCCCCTCACCTCCGCAGCCCTCTCAGCCGCAGCGGCACGGATCTGGTCCGTCACACACTCACCATGGACCAGGGCCTTGACTTCCAAACGGGCCCTGCCTTTTGAAATGGCTCACCCCCCTCCAGGGCACAACTCCCGCTTGGCCATACTGAGACGAGAGGCCACACGGACGAGGCGAGAGCACTCCAGGCATTGCCATCGACCACCTTCTAGGAGCCTAAGACGGTGGGCCCGCTCAGGCGCGACTGCCAAAGGGCGGGCAGAACGTTCGCTCCTCCGAGCCCGACCAGCAGAAGACGGCAGGCTCGTGGTGGTAGCGTTGGCTTCACTAAGATCCACACGGAAGGAGGCTGCATACTGTAACAGCCTCTTCTGGAATTTGAGACACTGCTGAACCTGTTCCACCTTCCACGTTGGGGCGACATAGGGGTCAGCTCCCTGTCTTGCACGAGCGTCCGCGCACCTATTCATATCAAAGTGCACAAGATTCTCACCAGAAAGACAGGCCCTTTGGGCCTTCGTCATGTGAGACTTTATCTTGACTACTTGAAGGGACTCTCCTGGGATGAGACACTGATCCTCCAGGGCATCCCAAACACGCTTCCAAAGGTGCGCGGTCATCTGCTCGCTACTCACACAAAATTCTCGACCAGCCAAGAGCCCCTGAACGACCTGCTTACTATCAATCAGGAGCCCGACGAGCCCTACCGAGTGCTTTATGGCCTGGTACACTGCCCAGATCTCACAGTGGGCGACGTGGGCCTCGCAACTGGAACAGCTCCGAACAAAGACTGAGCCTCACTTTTCTTCTCCGCGCACCAGGTGATGGCGGCGAAGCCCCCCGTGGAGACCTCCTCCACGTCGGGGGCCAGGACGCGCCCGTCCGTGGCCACCCAGCCCGACAAGACCATCTCCCCGTCGGGGTCGCCCCACTGGTACTCGTCGGGCGGCGTGGGCACCTGGTAGTCGGCCACGGGGTCCGCGATCAGACCGCGAGCCCACTTCCAGAAGAGCGTGTCGCCGCCCCTGCAGCCCTGCTCCTCCTTCGTGGCGGCCGTCTCGCTCAAATGCACCACGTCCCGAAAACTGTGCTCGAGCGTCGGCTCCGTGAGTCCATCACGAATCGTGACGCACACATCTGCATCACAAAGAAAATACACATGCATCAAAGTGCCCTTCTTCTTGCCGCACAGAGGGCACAGAGGGCTCGTGACCTGGCCGCGCTCGTAGCACACGGTCTGAACAG